GGGGAAATATGTAGTAAAATTAACTGAGTTCTACATCACTTCCGTCGCAACTTGAAAACTAAGCATTTGCGACGGAAGTGATGTAGAACATCAATCAATTGAGATCTGTTTTGAAATGATAAAGACTTAAAAGACAGGACAAAGTGCTTTTAAAACCTACAAACGAAAGTCAGTTTGCGTTTTTAGGTTTTTCTTTTTAGTAATTTTTACCAAAAATGCGTCTTTACTGGCCCCTGCATCTTTACTAGTCAAGTAACCCTATCAGGTACCTCCCTTAACATTTAGAGGCGAAAACAAAAAATTTATCCATACACACCAATGTCTATCAACAACACTTCAGTTAATTTGTCACAGTACAATTTTAGATAACGTGTAATTATACAGAAAATTGGAGAGGAATCTCCCATACTCACCCATTAGCGGAAAACACAGCTGTTCTGATGTAAACAAAACGTGTTGAGTGTTGCCATCTATGGTTAGGTTTATTTATTTTTATTTTATTTTATTTTATTATTTATTTTTATTTTGATTAATTTTTAAAAATCAATTTTACTCTCCAAACACTTGAACTTTTTAGGGAGGGACCCCTTTTTCACTTGCACCATGTGCAAAAGTTTTGGATGGCCCCTGAACCCCTTGGACCGCGGGGCCCCCAAATGCGCGGGGCCCTAGGCAAATCCCCCCCTTTGGCCTATGCGGTAATCTGGCCCCCGCTAACCACACAGACAGCTGCAGAAGTGTGACCCGTCATCAAAGGGTTTAAAAGTCTTGACTGCTTTATAAACAGTAATGTAAGTAACTCAGTTATTTTCCTCAGTGATGGAGGCAATGTAATTTTCAAGCTTAAAAGAGAACTATGTAATTTGTGACATTTTACCGAGGAGATGAGTTGGAAATGAATGTTGTTGTAAACAGTTGATGTTAATTTGTAGGTGGACAAACACTGTAAGGATGTAACAGTACTTTTTTTCTATGTCCAAATTTACATATATTCTTGGGATGTTGCTCACTTGTCTAGCTAGGTCAGTGATGGCAGCTGTTAGGGCTTTAAACTGGAAATTAGTAGTAGAAATAGACAGAATATTTTTGTGACTTAGCAGGAGTACATGGAGAGTAAGAGAAAGGTTAATAGTGTGCAGAAAGAGGATAATGAAAGAGTTTGAGAGCTTTTATCTAAAAAAAATTTTGCTTAGAATTAGAAAAAGTTTTGCAGTGAGATCAATAAGATGAGACAGCCCAGGATATAAGTTCAATTCAATTCAGTTCAAAGTAATTGTTCGCATCACTATTGGGCCATGCGGACGTGCTGCGCAGTCACTCCTGATTGAGTTGGCTTTTGCGCAGTTTACCTGTTTTCACTTGGATATCAAAATGGCGGAACGTACAGGACGGAGAATAAATACTATATGCATTGAGCTGGTTCGTGGTACGTTAAGTGGAGATACGATGAACGTCCTTCTCCCTAGCATCATCAGGGATACATATGGTATTCCCAATGAGAATTGTATGGCGTCGCTCTTAATGGTTTGACAAGAATCTTCGTGAAATTTGTACGAGCCAGCTTCTACACAAGAATTGTCGAGCATTACCAGGAACAACGCATGAGTGTGAATTCAGCGATGGATGTCGTTTTACATGACGTCTCTAAGTACTTCACATGGGTGAAGGTACGAAATGTACCCTTTGAGGCCACGGCATATGGTCTACAGGAGTTTTTCAGCAGTTATGGGACAGTGCATTCTGCAACCATGGGGCTGTGGAGGGATGGTCCATATAAAGGGCTGCCAGAGGGTTCTTACACCCTTAAAATGTCTTTAACAAGGCCTATACCATCCTATGTTATGATGACCGGTTATAGAACACAGGTTTATGTGTACTATGCTGGTCAGAGGAAAACATGTCGTTTGTGTAGCTCTTATGAGCCCATGGCAGCCCAGTGTCCTAGGAGACAGGCTTCTCGAGTTCTGGGAACTCCAATTGTGATTCAGCAGACGTGTGATTTGGTGCCTGGCTCTGGTGCCTCGGGAGGCCGGAGGACTGACCTCTGGAGCGAGGTCAAACGGGAGGTGGCGGCGGCGGAGACGTGTGTCACTCTCCCAGGGGCGTCGGGGGAGTCGAAGGTGACATCTGAGGAGTCTTTAGTCCAGGAAGCTTCGACCCAGGATGGTTCATTGGCGGATGTGATCAAGGATTTTCTGGATGGGGAGGAGCCCTGTGCAGAAGGTGTCCTCAGTTTATGTGAGGACGGAGCGCTGGAGGGACAACAAATCGTGGAGGAAGACTTGAGTAAGAAAGGACTGGAGCGTGTGGTGGTTGTGGAGGTACACCAGGAGGATTCGCCTGATGGTGATATGTGTGTAAGTGGAAGTTCTAGGAAAAGAACTGCTGCATCAGAGATAGACGAGGTCATCACCCCGGGGCAGAGGCTGGGGAAGAAGTCATGGGCAGCGGTGGTGGAGCCGATGCCTCATAGTGGTAGAGGTGCTCCTGAGTTGCACAGTGGGAGAGGGAGGGGGAGGTGACTGCACAGGAAAACTGGAGTGGCAAGGGAACACGTAATGTGAAAAGTGCAGTGAGTAAATCCCAGCGGCATAGGGGAAAGCCGCCCCTTCTATAAATTTCAGATGTGTCATGCTTAATGTTAATGGACTTAAGACTGAGGTCAAGAAAGTTTGGTTTGAGTGGTTTTTACGGCGGATTGATGTCGACATTTGTTTTTTGTAAGAGCATAATCACAGGGCTGGATGTGAGTTTCGGGTGAAAGGATATCGGATGTATGTTACCAGTGGTTTGCAATTGAAAGGTGGGGAAGCAGTGGCGGTAAAGGAGACCAGCCCCTTGCGTGTCATCGGTTGGGAAGAGGGGGGGGTGGGAGGGTCGTGAGGGTGGATGGTGTCTGGGGTGAGAGTCGAGCTAGTTTTGTAGGAGTTTACATGCCAGCAACTAGTAATACCAGGGTAAAAGTGATTTTGTCAGGGAGGTATTGCTGTATCACTTGAGAGGTTTGCCTGCTATAACAGTAATAGGTGATTGGAATTGTGTGATTCAGAGTGGTGATGTCAAACCGAGTGGGCTGGTTGTGTGTTGAGTGTTCTGAGGGATGTATTGCGAGATATTGGGGTTGTTGATGTGGTGGGGAGGGGGGGATACCTAGTGAAGCACACGTTCGTCCATAGGGGATATGAGGCGCAATTGGACAGAATCTATATTAAGCAGGTATAGGATGTTGTGAGGGTGCAAACCTTCGATGTGGGGTTTTCTGATCACAGGGCGGTAATAGCAGATCTGATGTGGGATGGAGTGGTGCGTATTTATTCTGGGTACTGGAAATTAAATGTAAGGCTTCTTAAGAGAAGGGGGAGAGGGCCTTTTTTCAGTGATTGGTGGTTGCATTTTTGGGAGGCTAGGGACAGGGAGATAGATCTGTTAGATTGGTGGGAAATGCAGGCCAAACCTGAAATAGCGAATTTTTTTAAGGTTAAGGGATGAGAAGAGGCGAGGTGGCGTTTTGGGTTGCAAAATTATCTGGAGGGACAGTTGCAAGACTGTAATGTTGGGGGAGGTGGTAGGAGGGATGACATGGTCAGTCTTCGGAGTAGAACACCTGAATTACACAATGATAGGTTTGATGCAATTAGGGTTAGAGCGGGGTTAGAGGACGTATTGTGGGGTGATAAGCCGTCCAGGTTTGTTTTACATAAATTTCGGGACCGACAGAGAGTAAACACCATTCTACAATTGGAGACAAGCCCTGGGGTGGGAGGGTATCCAGAGGGTCGGGTACTATCCAATACGGAAAGCATGAGTCTCTATGCTGATAGTTGGTTTAGGGAGAAATGGAGTTGGAGGGAGGGGGGTTCCTGGGAGGGTATTTTTGGAGGGGGGTTCCATAGTGTTTTAAGTGAGCAGGATAGAGTGGGGTTGGAGGGTGGTATAAGTGAGGTTGAGGTGGAAGAGGCAGTTTTTGGGATGAGTACCGGAAAAACACCGGGGATACACGGTATACCAAATGATTTTTATAGAGCACATTCGGGATATATTAGGCAATGCTTTGTTAGGGTATTGGATCATATGTTAACTAGTGGGAAGTTGGGCACATCGCAAAGTACGGGTGTCATAGTTTTGGTGCCAAAGCAGAGGGGGGAAGAGAGTTGAGTGCTTACCGAGCAATATCTCTGATGTGCGCAGATTACAAGGTTTTTGCAAAAATTTTAGGCAATAGACTGAAGAAGGTCATGGGGTCGGTGATACATGGGGGACAGTTTGGTATCCCAGGGAGGAGTATGTGGGTAGGTCATGGACGTATTAGGGATTTCCTCGAGGGTAGTAATAAAGGAGGAATTCTAGGTCGGGATTGAGAGAAAGCTTATGATTATGTGGATAGGGAATTTTTGATTGAGAGTATGGTGAGAATGGGTTTTGGAGGGAGGGTGATGGGATGGGTGAGGACATTGTATGCGGATGCATCGATGAGAGTACAGGTAAATGGTAGGTTGGGTAGTCCTGTAAGTATGGGAAGGGGTTTAAGGCAGGGGTGTCCACTCTCCCAAATACTCTTTGCATGTATGCAGAATCCTTTCTATGTTCTGGTTGATGGTGGGATGGGAAGGATAGGGGAGAGTGGAGGCTTTTGTGGGAATATTGTTGGTTATGTAGATGATACAACTGTTTTACTTAATGAGATAGAAGATTTAAGTAAAGTGGGAAGGGTACTTGAGATTTTTGGGAATGCTACTGGGATGAGAGTTAATAAGCAGAAATCACGGTTGCTGGAGGTAGGCGCTTGGGTAGGAGGGACCTTGGGGGAGGAGTTTGGCTGGATAACTGTAGAAAGGCTCAAGATTTGTGGGATTTTGTATTTGGCAGATGCACAGGAGAGCAGGAGGGTTAATTCAGAAATGGTAATGGACAGAGCTTTGAGTAGGCTCAGGAGTCCGTGGACCGGGGACGTAACCTTGCATCAAAGGGTTGTGGTAGTAAATACGCTGATTTATAGTAAGGTGTGGGGAGTGGCGGAAATTTATCCCTTACGAAGTCAGGATATTATGGAATTACAAAGGAGAATATTAAGGTATGTGTGGGGTTTTGGGAGGGCGTGGTTGGGCAAAGATGTGGTAATGACTGCGGTAAGACAGGGAAGATTGGGATTGATGGCATTAGGGTCTAGGGTGAAGGCGCTATATGTGAAGCAGAGGTATATTCGGGCAGCGGGGGAAAGGGGTCTTCGAGTGGGGGAGGTGATGGGGGATATCCGCAAATGGTGGGGTGGCAGGGACTTAGTGGAGTGTGAAGATATGTTGAAGTCTATGTTAAAAGTTCGCAATGTTAAAAAACTCAAGGTAAAACGGTTGGTGGGTGTGGGTCGTCGTCAGGAATCAATGCAGGGGATGGCAGTGTATCCTACATATGATTGGAGAGTGATATGGGTGGAATTTAGTAAACTGAGAATACAGGCAAGAGTGAGGGAATTAGTATATAGATTTCTTATGGGGACGTTAGTGTAGACAGCCTGTACTGTCTGCACAGACAGCCCATGCTGCCTGCCAGCTTAGTTCATATTTCACGCCATGCTGGTGCTGCCACCTATAGGCCTTGCCACTTCAGTATGCCCAGACTTGCCTCACCCTCACTCACACAGCGGCCTAGCAGGAAGACACAAGTACTCCCAGCTCTCTCTCGTGGGATGGCCCTGCCCGGGCCATGGGCTCAAACACACAAGCCTGTGTACCCACCACGACTTTGCAATAAAGTAAGAAGCCTCCGAAGACGTATCATTTCAACTACCCGCTTTCAGCCCTACCAAACAAACCCGTTATATTAGAATTGAAAGAGGTGCTAAGACGAATGGGTTTTGCGAGTGAGGCGTCATGCGGTTTTTGTGGGGAAGTTGAAACTGCTTTCCATGTAGTATATTTTTGTTCTGCTTTGGAGGTGGTAAGATTGTGGTTGAAGAGGGTTTTCCTTTTATTGGGGGGGGTCAGATATCACCCCTTAGAGCTTTAATGTTAGATATGGGAGGGATGCAGGAAGGAATACATATAAATGACCTCATAGGGGACAGGAGCCATAGTAGGGAAACAAGTGTAGTCAAATATAAGATAAAACCAATATTGCAAACTAGAAATACCGCAGGAAATAGCAAACAAGAGGACTCCAATAGCAATACTGAGGATAAATTACCAAAAACAACTGGTGGGAGCTCCATTGTTGGTGCTAGGGATGATAGAAGTAAGACAGGGAAACATGCACCAACAGGGAATACAGTCACAGAAACCCAAGGCAAGCAGAAACCAAGCCTGTGCACATACTATGCACTTGGTATCTGCTGGCATGGGAAATCTGGAAAAACAGATGGGACATGCAACTATGACCACCCTAGAAAATGCCATGCCCATATGACAACAGGAAAATGCAAACTCCCTTCCTGTAAGCTTTTTCACTCTGAAATGTGTACCTCTTCAGTACAGGAAAGACTGTGCTATAACTTAAATTGCCAGGCATACCATCTAAAGGGGACAAAAAGATACAAAACATCCAGGCCATGGGAAAACCTGGGTAGCCACAGCCACTCAAGAGGGAGAGGTTTTTTAGTGCCAGGAAGGAAAAAAAAACTGGCAGGAAATGGCAGAAATCGTACACCAAATCCAGTCATTCCTGGAGTGGAACCACAGTCGATGGCCTCCACTCCAAACCAACAGATACAGATACTAATGCCGGAAAAAAAAAATCCCCCCCCCAGTACCAACAATACCACCAGACCGATAACAGTCTTCTTTGCAAATATACAGGGTCTAAAGCCAGCAAAAAACAACAAAATACCTTTCATCCGTGGACTGCTTGCAGAGGCAAAGGCAATGTTCGCGGCTTTCACTGAGACCCACATAAAGGATCACTTGGACAACGAAATATGGATCCCAGGTTACAACCTATACAGATGTGACAGAGTGAACAGGCAAAAGGGAGGGGGTTGGCCTGTACATTGCAGAGTCACTTGTTTGCACAGAACTGCTTAATGCCTCAAATGATGTAGTGGAAGTTTTAGCAGTAAAGGTCGAGAACCAAAACCTAGGTCATTGTGGTAGTCTACAAGACCTCCGATGCAACATCCCAGCAATTCCAGGAACAGCTGTTAAAAATTGACCACTGTCTGGAAAATCTTCCAGCTCCTGCACCCAACATCTTGCTCCTGGGGGATTTCAACTTAAGGCACCTAAAATGGAGGAATATAGCAAATAATATTGTTGCAGTAATAACACCAGGAGGCAGCTCTGATGAAAACTCACACTCACACGAGCTTTTAAATCTCTGCACAAAATTCAATTTAAACCAGCAAATAATAGAGCCTACTAGACTGGAGAATACACAGACCTCATCTTCACTAACAATGATGATCTGATAAGAAATGTCACCATATCAAAAACAATATACTCAGATCACAACATAATTGAGGTTCAGACATGTATGCGTGGAGCTCCAGACCGACAAAATGAGACTAGTCACGAGGAGCATTCACACAAATTCAACTTCAATAACAAAAACATAAAGTGGGACCAAGTAAACCAAGTCCTCTAACCGATATAAGCTGGGAAGATACACTAAGCAACACAGACCCCAACTTATGCCTAGAACAGATTAACTCGGTGGCACTCGATGTATGCACAAGGCTTATTCCTCTAAAGAAAAGGAGGAGTAGATGTAAAATAGAAAGAGACAGGCGCTCCCTTTACAGGCGACGGAAAAGAATAACAGAGCGGCTAAAAGAGGTCAATATATCTGAAATGCGTAGGAGACACTGGTCAGAGAAATAGCAAGCATCGAAATTAAGCTAAAAAGAATCCTTTAGGAGTCAGGAATCGCGGGAAGAACTAAAAGCCATAAATGAAATCGAAAGAAACCCAAAGTATTTCTTCTCCTATGCCAAATCAAAATCGAGAACAACGTCCAGTATTGGGCCCCTACTTAAACAAGATGGGTCCTACACAGATGACAGCAAGGAAATGAGTGAGCTACTCAAGTCCCAATATGACTCAGTTTTTAGCAAGCCGCTAACCAGACTGAGAGTCGAAGATCAAAATGAATTTTTTTATGAGAGAGCACAAAATTTGATTAACACAAGCCTATCCGATGTTATCCTGACGCCAATGACTTCGAACAGGCGATAAATGACAATGCCCATGCACTCTGCCCCAGGGCCAGACTCATGGAACTCTGTGTTCATCAAGAACTGCAAGAAGCCCCTATCACGAGCCTTTTCCATCCTATGGAGAGGGAGCATGGACACGGGGTCGTCCCTCAGTTACTAAAAACAACAGACATAGCCCCACTCCACAAAGGGGGCAGTAAAGCAATAGCAAAGAACTACAGACCAATAGCACTAACATCCCATATCATAAAAATCTTTGAAAGGGTCCTAAGAAGCAAGATCACCACCCATCTAGAAACCCATCAGTTACACAACCAGGGCAACATGGGTTTAGAACAGGTCGCTCCTGTCTGTCTCAACTATTGGATCACTACGACAAGGTCCTAAATGCACTAGAAGACAAAAAAGAATGCAGATGTAATATATACAGACTTTGCAAAAGCCTTCGACAAGTGTGACCATGGCGTAATAGCGCACAAAATGCGTGCTAAAGGAATAACAGGAAAAGTCGGTCGATGGATCTATAATTTCCTCACTAACAGAACACAGAGAGTAGTCGTCAACAGAGTAAAGTCCGAGGCAGCTACGGTGAAAAGCTCTGTTCCACAAGGCACAGTACTAGCTCCCATCTTGTTCCTCATCCTCATATCCGACATAGACAAGGATGTCAGCCACAGCACCGTGTCTTCCTTTGCAGATGACACCCGAATCTGCATGACAGTGTCTTCCATTGCAGACACTGCAAGGCTCCAGGCGGACATCAACCAAATCTTTCAGTGGGCTGCGGAAAACAATATGAAGTTCAACGATGAGAAATTTCAATTACTCAGATATGGTAAACATGAGGAAATTAAATCTTCATCAGAGTACAAAACAAATTCTGGCCACAAAAATAGAGCGAAACACCAACGTCAAAGACCTGGGAGTGATTATGTCGGAGGATCTCACCTTCAAGGACCATAACATTGTATCAATCGCATCTGCTAGAAAAATGACAGGATGGATAATGAGAACCTTCAAAACTAGGGAGGCAAGCCCATGATGACACTCTTCAGGTCACTTGTTTTATCTAGGCTGGAATATTGCTGCACTCTAACAGCACCTTTCAAGGCAGGTGAAATTGCCGACCTAGAAAATGTACAGAGAACTTTCACGGCGCGCATAACGGAGATAAAACACCTCAATTACTGGGAGCGCTTGAGGTTTCTAAACCTGTATTCCCTGGAACGCAGGAGGGAGAGATACATGATTATATACACCTGGAAAATCCTAGAGGGACTAGTACCGAACTTGCACACGAAATCACTCACTACGAAAGCAAAAGACTTGGCAGACGATGCACCATCCCCCCAATGAAAAGCAGGGGTGTCACTAGCACTTTAAGAGACCATACAATAAGTGTCAGGGGCCCGAGACTGTTCAACTGCCTCCCAGCACACATAAGGGGGATTACCAACAGACCCCTGGCAGTCTTCAAGCTGGCACTGGACAAGCACCTAAAGTCAGTTCCTGATCAGCCGGGCTGTGGCTCGTACGTTGGTTTGCGTGCAGCCAGCAGCAACAGCCTGGTTGATCAGGGGCTGATCCACCAGGAGGCCTGGTCACAGACCGGGCCGCGGGGGCGTTGACCCCCGAAACTCTCTCCAGGTAAACTCCAGATGCCCAACGAGGTGGGGAGGGCTATCAGATACGTAATAGTTGATTACTTGTATGTCTCTTGGGGGATGAGGGAGGTGGAGGGAAACAATAGGATAAAAGCGTTGGCGGCGTGTTTTTATAGGACAGCGTGTAGGAACAAACAATTATATGGGGGAAGGTGGGTAACTAGTTTTCCGAAGGGATATCGTGGACTTACTGTTGAACGTCTACTCCGCTTGGTGACGGGGTGAGAGGCAAGGGGTTGGTCTCTTCAGTGGTGTGTCCTCTTGGAGTGATTGGAAGCCTGATGAGGAAGGTTGACTGGTTTGCAAGGTGGTGGATGTGGGTAAAGTTTATTTGCAGGGAGCCGTCGGGGGCTCCGGGGTATGTAGATCTTATGAATTTTGTAAAACCACAGAGTTAAAAGTTGTATGTGATTTTCTCTTTTTTCTTTTATCATTATAAGAACCATTTTATATAGGGGTTTATATTCATATGTATATGTGAGGATATGTTTTAT